TGCCTGGCATGGGTGGCATCCCTCCCCCTCCACCTCCATTACCTGGGATGGTGGGCATCCCTCCTCCCCCACCCCCACTGCCTGGCATGGGTGGCATCCCTCCCCCTCCACCCCTCCTCCCTGGCATGGCAGGAGATCACATAGAAGCCGTGGTGGCCTCCCAATTCAGCTGCCCTCTGGGCTCAGGCCGGCCTCCCCGCAAGGCAGTGAAGACACCAACGTTGAGAATGAAGAAGCTGAACTGGCAAAAGCTGCCCTCCAATGTGGTGAGAGGTGGGTGCCTCTGTCAGAAAGTCACTGCCTCTTTAGAGGTGACCCAGGGGAAAAAAACCTTGGAGTTTGTCAAATGCGATTGACTCCATTTTGATACAGAATTTCCCTGATTTCCATTCCATCTGACCTGCAGATCTTAAACAAATAAAAGTAGCTGGAAACCACTAGTGTAATATAATAATAATTCCAACTATTTCAGTAGTTTGGAATAGCTTGTTTATAACTAAAATCCTTTGGACTTAAAAGAAGGAGGAGGGATGGGAATATTTCCCTATTCCACCATGACATGCCTTAAGCTTGAGTTCACAACAGGCTTCTATCTGGGTTCCCAAGCCTTTGGTTCCCCAGTTCATCCGTACTTGCATCTGGATATATTAAAGTCATGAGTAAGAGTGCAGGTAAGGATCACATCACAGTTTGAGAAGGACATTGAAATAATTGGAGAGCCATAAGAATCATTGACTTGTCTCTTGATTTTTGGGTCACATTTCGCTCTCTTAGTGGATCTGAAGAGGAGCATGAAATGTGAGAAGAAGCCAGGACAGGCAAAGGTCAGCTTTGTCCTAGATAAGTGAGACACCTATTGCATGGAAGTTTGCATAGATGAAGTCTAAATTAGGTGTGTGTTCAACCACAAGAGCAGTTAATTATTGGGATTACTTTAGTAAAGACTACTACAGGCACATTTGGGTGATGGTTTTTGTTGTTGTGGTTTGGTTTTTTTTAAAGTCATTTAAGAAAGTGCAGTGGGCATTAATTCAAGCAGTCCTAGAGTCAGCAAGGAGGCTCAATTATAAAGTGAAAAATGAAGGAAGTTCACAGTCAGAAAATGTCAAGGTTGTGGCCAATCCATCAGCAAGCATGCAAGGAAGCAAAAATAACATCAGCCATGGTACTAAGAAAGAAATGGTCAAGGTCCTTCCCCTGCTGATTTGATTTGTCTACTATGGGGGAGAATGCAGTTGTATAGAGAGGAATGGGGCTGCACAGCCTCTGTGTGCCTTGTGCTGCATCCCCTTACCAGCACATCTTGGGGTCAAGCACCAGGTTTAATTACCCTTTAGGCCCTTTGGATCCTGCCTGTGGGACTTCTAAATAATTAGCATTTGTCCAGGCCTAATATGACTTGTCTTATTTCACTTATCTTCTAACAAGTGCCCCTTCTAGCAACACACATTTCTCCAAAGGCCAGAAGTTTTCAGCTGCCCCTGTAGCCAGTCTGAACACCTTGTCTTTTTCCAGAAAGTCACTCAATATGGGCTTCAGTGAGCAGCAGCAGTGAGGAAACCATAGAACCCAACTACACAAGCATAGAGCAGCTGTTTTGCTTTCCACAAACAACCCCCAAGGAGAAGACAACCACACCAGTGAAGACAGAACCAAAGGAGGTGAGGAGGTCCCTCTCGTTCTTTTGCATAAAGATCACTGCAGACAGCTCATCTAATACAAGATATCTTCTTTTTCTTTAATGAAGATCACATTTTTGGACTCCAAGAAAAGTCTCAATTTGAACATATTTTTGAAGCAATTTAAATGGTAAGATATGGCCAATTTTCATGAAAGTTGACAAAACTTTGAGCAGGTTTTGCATAGTATCTGGAAGGTCCTCAAGAAATCTGTCCTAGGTGGTCTCTGTTACTAAAACATCTGAACATTTCCCAGTTTTGCCTATACTGCCTTTAAAATACTGGTTGAAGGGCTTAATTGCATTTTTAGCTACCACATCGTTCAAGTTGGAACAGGCATTACAACTCCATTTTACTGATGGAGTGGCACAAACTCCTAGGATGACTTGTGCTGTGAGACACCTCTAGAGGTCAAACCTCTCCTCAAAACAGGGCCAATGGAGAAGTTACAAATGATTTATTTTTTTTTTTTTAAGTTAATCAAATATCCAGGGACAATCACTGAGTTGCAGGATTCATTTCTGGCCTTGAGACCTTAGAGAAGTGCCAGAAACAAAATCTGGGGCATAGCAGGGATCCAGATCCTGATTCCAAGTTAAACAACAGGATGTGTCTTTCCTCTTGGATCACTGTGGCTCTCACTAAAGAAACCATGGAGCATTTGCACAGATACATGTCTCATTAACATGTCACTGCGGAAGAGGGATCCTTGGTGTTTGGCTGACTCTGTTCCTCCTCCCTGCAGCTCCAATGAAGAGGTGGCTGCCATGGTCCAGAACGGGGATCGTACCAAGTTTGATGTTGAGGTTCTGAAGCAGTTACTGAAGCTGCTGCCTGAAAAGCATGAGGTCAGGAGGAAAAATGGTACCTTTAGTTCACAGAATTGAACACACAGTGCAGTTCTGCAATTTTTATTCTTTATTTCTCATTAGATAGAAAACCTGAAAGCCTTCAAAGAAGAGAAATCAAAGCTTGCAAATGCAGATCAGTTTTATCTTCTTCTCCTTCAGATTCCCAGGTAAGGTTGTTGGTCATGAACTTCAGCCCAGTCTTTTTCTGGGTTTATCTCTGTGAAGTTTAAGTTTCTTTATGGGAGCCTCTCAGACAGATACTGATGAATTTAAGTGGTGGGTTCCTCCTTCCACCTTAGAACCATCCCTGTCCCCATTACCCTTAGAGGAAGGGCTGTTGCTGCTTCAGTACCTCCTCTTGCTCAGAAGTAGCAGAAGCAGGCCCAGGCCTGACTCAGACCTGTCCAAGGAAGCCACATAACTTACTGAAAGGCAGTGTCAAATGCAGTTCCAAGAAAGAGGAACCCATATCTCACCCAGTGCTCAGTCTTCCCTTTGCTGATCACAGTTTAACAGCAGAAAGTACATCCCCACTGGTCCCTAAGGCAAGCAGCAGCCCCTCGGCTCTCTCCACAAGCCACAGACAATGTTTTGGTGTAGATGTGGTTGCCAGCGTGTTGTGAGGTTGCCAGAATTAACAGTGATGTGGGAAGAGGGCCGCTGTCTTGGCCAAGATCATGGTACCTTTAAACTTTGACTCAACCTCTGTCCTTAGCTACCAGCTGCGCATTGAGTGTATGCTGAGCTGTGAGGAGACCACCGCTGTGCTGGACATGATTCAGCCGAAAGCTGAAGCCATCCGGAGAGCCTGTGAAGGTAATGACTTCACCTTATTTCTGGATCTTATTTATGAGAGGAAGCTGTAGCTCCCCCCCACAGAAACTCCTCTAGAGCCCTGCAGTGAGTTTATCCAGCCCCCAAAAAATCTCCCCTGTGGTCCATTCAGTCATTCGCTGCAGAATACAAGGATGCATCTTAGGTATCTCCACTGATGGTCAAAGTCCTTAATAGGACTTTGGAGATCTAGAGATCATTTTCCCTTACCCTCAGGCCTCTTTCTGCAGCAGCTGTATTCCTCTGAAACACTGTCAAGAGTGGAGCACTGGAAGCTTCTCAGCCCTTTGAAAGGAGCTGAATTTAGACAGCAGAGCTGGCCCTGTTACAGCTAATTCATCCAGCATTATTTGCCACATCAAGACCTTCCCACAGCAATTTCCTCTGCTGCCAGAAAAGTACACTCCAAACTTCCCCCTGCTACAAATGGAACCAGAAGAAAAAGTTTGTTATTTTGGGCTATAAATTGCTGCTGCTCCAATTTTGTGTGTACATGGAGAGATTGCACAATAGGTTTCAGCTTCCTGTGGCCGAAATTCACAGGCCCTGCTCTGCTGGAAGCAGGATGCTCTTCTGGGCACTGTCGAGTGTTGCCTGTCCTAAAGAGTCAGTTCCCCCAGCTCCTGCCATGGGTTTCTCCAGCTGGCATTACAACTGGGATAAGGTGAAACTTCCCCCAAAAAGCATCTTCCCAGCAGCTCAGTTGTTCTTTTGGAGCTGTTCCTGCCTGAAAGCTGAGTGCTTTAGAAACTCACCACTACAGCACCCCATCATAAGGGCAAGGACAAGGACTGTACTCTTCATGCCCTGATAGTCATTTATACCATGTGAGACCAACAACAGGGCAAGCATGTCTGGTTTTAGCAGCTGGCAGAGAATCACAGGGCTGTCAAAACTGGCTCCACTGCACAGCTGAACTGAGTCTGCAAGGGTAAAATTACAAGCCAGATACTTTCCCCCACCTCAGGGTAAATTGAGGTACTTCAGGGAAGGCAGCAAGTTGATGGCTGTCAGTGAGGAGGGTCCAACTCCAGGCTATTGTCCATTAGGAATGAGAGACCAGAAGTAAAGAAAGAAGGAAACCCAAGTCAACAAAAACTTTTACAGCTCATGGAAATTAATCTATGTAGAATCAGTTTCCCTGCAGGCTGGGCCATTGGGCTGCAAAGCTGAAATATCAGCTGAAATATTGCTTTGGTGGCATTCAGAATCCCAATTTAAGTGCTGTTTAGGAAATGTTCTGGTGTAACAGAGGCTTTTATTTTAAAGTCCTTTATGTTTTTCAGATCTTCTGAACAGCCATCGCCTGCCGCTCTTTTGTCAACTGATTCTCAAAGTTGGAAACTTTCTGAACTACGTAAGGACTTATTTTTTTCTTGGCCTCCCCCTTTACAGTGAGTGGATGATCTCCTTTAGGGTGGTAATTTGGATGGACACAGGAGTTATGTCTGCTTTCTTTCTGTCTTGTAGGGAAGTCACACGGGCGACGCTGATGGGTTTAAAATCAGCACTTTACTCAAACTAACAGAAACCAAAGCAAACCAAACCCGCATTACGCTGCTCCACCATATTCTGGAGGTATCACTGCCAAGTCCTGAGTGATAAAGGTTTATCACAGATGGACCATTTCTCCTACTCTACTTTCAGTTAATGCCACACAGTTGTGTTTGTATCCTCCCTGGCTAGCCGTGGTGTTGCAAGTTGAGAGTGTTCAATTCCCTTAGGCTACCCTTGTGGGTACTAATGAGGGAGCTCTTTATTTTAAGACTTGTTCTGCTTTCCTCCAGCATCCTTCCTGCAATGGCTGGAACTTTTTTTTCATAATTGTGCAACCTACACATCATCAGCCACAAACTGCAGAGCACATGGTTTCCAAAGCTATCCAGACTGGTCGGTGCCCATTCAGCCCTTCTGCTTTTCCATGGCCTCTCCTTTTTCCATCATGCTATGCTCAGGCTTTTCATGCTCCTCTCCAACTCTTATGGCTTTCTTATTCCCTGCATTGCTGGTTTTGGTGGTTTTTTTCATTTTTCTGCACACTCTGCTCTGCCACCTTCATTCATCAAGGTCTCTCCATTCTAGTTATCCATGTTCAAGCCCTGCTTTAGCTGGCAGTAGCTTCAGCAACCACAGCCATGAAAGTTAATGATGCAAATAAGATGCATGCCCATTTGATACCTTCCTAGGACTGTAGGAACTGTCAGACTACATCAAACCACAGTCTTGCCTCCTCCTCCCATGGCCAAGAGTAGGTGTATCAGTAGAGGGTAGGTGAAGAGTTCAGCAGCAGGTCAGCTTCACTTTAAATTATGAGTATTTATCAACAGTCAACTCTATGTTTTTATAGCCCAGGAGCACTGCTTTCCCTCTCTAGATGTGCCATCCTTTCTGGGCACTTCTGCCCATGTTTCTTCCCCCCAGCTTCCTCTTGGCTGCTGCCACACAGTGAATAACATGTTTCTCTATTCTTCTTCAGGAAGTAGAAAACAGCCACACGGACCTACTGGAACTGCCAAAGGATCTTGAATATGTTTCAAAAGCAGCAGGGTAAAATTGTGTCTCATTTCCTTCAAATTAAAAACAAAAATAAATCTCATGAACATCAACAATGTACCAGAAATTAGGACACACGCAGCTGCTATAGCACATTAGCAAGATGGCATCTTATTTAGTTTTAACTGAAAGATGTGGTCGATGAATATTAGAGCTGCTTTAATGTATGATAGTTCTACTACAGCTGGCAACACTTAGGGCTGAAATTTGCAGAGCATTCAGGTAACATTGCCTCCCAGGCTCTCCCAAAATCTTCACTGCCTTTGTGGTAGCAGGAACGTCTGAAGTCCAGCTACCCAGCAGAGTTTCTGAAGTGTCTTCAACCAGGGAGAGGGAGTTAATGCCAAGCTCTGAGGGTGGAGAGAAACCCTTTGAATGGGTGGACTTTATTTGGCATTCATCTACTCGGTACACTTAGTTGTAGGTAGACCTGGCAGCCTTTTCATAAGTGCTGTGGAGGGAGGCTGTTTTCGGTGAGCTTGGACTGCACAGATTGTTCAGGGCTCAGGTTTCATTTCAGTGAAGTGGTGGGAAGCAAAGGGATAACCAGACCACCAGCTCAGACTTGTCCACTCCTTGATCAGCACAAGATGCTGGAGTGTCAACTAATAGGGGGGTTCTGTGTGATTTCAGAATCAATCTTGATATTATACGCATGGAGTCCAGTACCAATTTAAAGAAGTTGTTGGAGCTTCAACGGAAAGTGTTATCATCAAATGATGATGTGAAACAACAGTATGAGAAACCTATCCAGGTCAGTAATGGAGCACCCTCATATCTCCCCCATTACACAGTGCCCACTACATGTGTAGCTGAAGAGTTTCATGAGAGGGTGGAAAACATTGCTGCAAGACATACTCTCAGATTTGGAAATAGACTGCTATGCCACACAACCCATTGGTGTTTATTTACCACCTTCACCCCAAACCTAGTGGCCTGAAGCCCCTGCCCCAGCTGCTCTCTGCTCTCTGTGGTGTGACTCCTCACTTTGAGTGAAGATGTTCACATTTTGTGGGAATCACCAGAGTAAAACCCTTCTCTTGAGATTAAGATTTTCATTCAGCTTTCTGTGTCTTGCTCAAGCCACCTTGCTAAAATGACAAAGCACAGTCACAAGGACCAAAGATCATGTGCAGGTCTCAGTTTCTTCCTACTCCATAAGCTCTGATGGACTTAAATGCCAGGGCTCCAAAGCCCTGTTCGAAACTCTTACAGTGACATCCTTTTTTCTTTAATTGCACTTCCCTCATGGTCCTCTGGATGATGTGTTTACAGTGTATATAAAATGCATTCCAGGATAGCATTGATGCCTCCAGAAAGCTGGAAGAAGAATTTGAAGCTATTGAAAGAAAGAGAGAAGAACTTGCAAATTACCTTTGTGAAGATCCAAGCAAGTTGTCCTTAGAGGACATATTTAACACCATGAAGACCTTCAGAGATCTCTTCATACGAGCCCTGAAGGTTGGTGTCTGTGCACATGAGGCTGAGCAGCCCTAGTTCTGGTGCATGTCTCTGCTCCAACAGATGGGTGGGATGGGTACCCAGATCTGGTGGGGGCAAGGTGCTGGTTAGAGCCTCATCCTTTAATCACTTGGCATGAGATCACCTAGGGAGAGGGTGTCTGATCCCTGCTTCAGTGCAGGCTCCTGGCCCAGCTCAGACCCTGGTGATGTATGATTTTGGTGCAGCTCCAGCTGAGAGTAACAGCAATGCTTTGGAGTCAAGTGCAAAAGCTGTAAAGGAACAGGTTTATAAAACTTAACCCATTGCTCCAACCACAGAAAATAGACTCAGAATGGGGATATGTAGTAAAAAAAGCACCACTTTGGAGGAAATCATGTCTTCAGTACCTTCCACTTTTGCCTCAGCTGAAGGTCAGGCAGATCTGCACACTGGTAGGTCACTGTGTTAGGCAGATCACTGCTGCCTCTTCCTTCTAGGATATGGCAGAGTCCTGGCCAAGCCAGTGTTTTCCCTCTCACACGCTTGGCAAGAGAGCCCTTACTCCCCATGATCATTGTATTTATTGCACAGGATAAGGACAGAATTTCTGTTCTGCTTTTGCAACCATCTGCAGATCATCTTTCTCTTAATCAACTTTTCTAGAAAACATTTAGCCAACCTTCTCATGTCCCTGTTCCCTCACTGCAGGAAAACAAAGACAGAAAGGAGCAAGCTGCCAAAGCAGAGAAAAGGAAGAAACAACTGGAGGAGGAAGAGGGGAAGAGACAGAAGGGAGAAAATGGAAAAGTCAGTGAGTATCTGAAAAAGCTTCAAAATTGAGAGATGGAGCTGACAGGAGCTCTTTGCTGCTCCTGCTTTAATGGACCAGTACTGGTAATTTATTTTGTGGATTTCCAGGGACTGGCTGACTGAAAGCTTTTAGGTGCCATAGCTAAGAATTTACTTTTCTGCAGCTGGACAGAGATGTTAATTTTAGGTTTGCTGACTGAACAGAAAAGAAAAAAAAATCAAATTGAAACATTTCAGTTAAATTTTTCAGTTTCTAAACATAACTTTTGAATCCCGAGTCTAACAAGGAGCATTTCATTTCTCCCACTTCCAAAATCCCCATATACACTTGTCTTTACCACAGACTACTGATGTCTCAAAAATCTTGCAGATAACTTAACCTTTCTTTGGATGAAAATGAAAGGCACAACTGAAAAGTACAATTGAAATAAAAATCAATATTATTTTCCCTCCATCCCCAACCTCTACCCATACCCCACCACCACCCCCATAAAAAGAGGCCCCCACCAAGACAGATGGGAACGGGAGGTGTTTCAAGGTCATGGTGCAACCAGGCACAAAGGTGGGCAGAGCTGGTGCCAGCCTGTAGCACCCAGGCTTTGGAGCAGACCCTTGATCTTCAGCCAGGACACACTGCTGCAGGGTCATGGAGCACGGGCTGCTCTCAGGCCAGGCATCAGCTCCTTGCACCGGGACAGCTGTACCCATCCCAAGCAAGAGCATCACTGCAAAGTGTTCCTCATGGGCAGGTGTAACACCTGTCTCTCTCTGTCCCAGTTAAGAAGGGGATGGCAAAGCAGGAGGAGGTGTGTGTCATCGATGCCCTCCTGGCCGACATAAGGAAAGGGTTCACACTGAGAAAGACAAAGAACAGACATGACCTGGATGCACTTCCTAAAACCTCACCTGCGGAGAGCCCGGAGGAGAGTCAGTCTGGTAAGTACTCAGAACTCACTGTACCTGCAGCTATTCATTCCCATCTGCCCCTCAGCCTCAGCCAAGCATGCAAGCAAGAAGCTTTCATATTTGCATGTGGGGCATTTTATTTAAGGATGCTCTGCAGCCAGTGCCGTGGAGAGGAGGAGCAGAGAGCCCTGAGCTGGTGCCAGCCAAGTCTGTCCCAGAATTAGCAGCAATTTGGAGCAGCATGGCCTTGAACCCATGCTGATAAATCATAGACTCGTAGAGCCATTAAGGTTAGAAGAGACCTTAAAGATCATCAAGTTCCACCCCCCCTGCCGTGAGCAGGGAACCCCACCACTAGACCAGGTTGCACAAAACCTCATCCAGCCTGGCCTTAAAAACCTCCAGGGATGGGGCATCAACAACCTCCCTGGGCAACCCATTCCAGTTCCTCACCACCCTTATAGTGAAGAATTTCTTCCTAATATCTAACCTAAATCTCCCCTCTCTCAGTTTATCACTATCACTGTCTTCTCTGATGAAAAGCCCCTCCCCAACTTTCATGTAGCCCCTTTCAAGTACTGGAAGGTGCTATGTGGTCTCCTGGGAGCCTTCTCTTCTCTAGGCTGAACAGCCCCAACTCTCTCAGCCTGTCTTCATAGCACAGATGCTCCAGGCCTTTGACCATCTAGGTGGCCCTTGTCTGGACCCTTTCCAACAGGTCTGTATCTTTCTTGTGCTGAGGGCTCCAGAGCTGTACACAGTATTCCAGGTGGAGTCAGGCCAGAGTAGAGTAGAGGAGCAGAATCACCTCCCTGGCCCTGCTGGCCACACTACTTTTGATGCAGCCCAGGACACAACTGGCTCTCTGGGCTCCAGCACACACTGGCGGCTCATGCTGAGCTTCTCATCTCCTTCCACCCCCAAGTCCTTCTCCTCAGGACTGCTCTCCAGCCATTCTTCCCCCAGGCTGTATTTGTGCCTGGGGTAGTGCTGACCCAGGTGCAGGACCTTGCACTTGACCTTGTTGAACTTCATGAAGTTGGCACTGTCCCACCTCTCCAGCCTGTCAAGGCCCCTCTGGATGGCATCTCATGCTTTGAGAGGCACAGCCCATGGGTCAGCCACAGAACCATGCTGAGAGGGTGCTGGCATCAACCCCACATGAGTTCCCTCCATACTGTTGAGTCTCAGTAGCACAGCTTGGCACTGCCTTGGAGACTGCTGCACCCTGTCTTAGTCTACCTTTAAGATTCCAAAGCAGATCTTAAAGAAAGATCAGAAAACCCTATTGGTAAAAGGACCCAAGACCTTTAGGTGCTTTTTAGGAGGCAGCCCAAGGGTTTACAGTTTTTTAGTCTTAACTTTACCTTGGTGTCCTGTTAGAAAAGTCCAAGGACATAGGTCTACCACAGAATCTGACTTGTACATTGTAGTTCTACTAAACCTGCTCTGCAGGGGCAGGGTTAGGTTGACTGATGGGCAGTTTTGAAGTCCTCATGCAGCCAAGCCAGCAGTCCCACTTCTTTCAGGATCTTGCATGTGGATTCCCTCATCCGGCTGTAGGCTTTCAGGCATCCTTGTGAGTCTGAGGGCTTCCATATAATCACGCAGTTGGCAGCAAAGACACGTAAACACCTGCTGAAAAACAGCAGGGACTTTGCTGAGCTGGAGCCTTGGAGTCCAACTGGGGTGACCACATGTGTAGAACAAGGGAAGGACTAGGGAGGATAAAATAGTGCTGCCTCTACACAACTGCTTTAGGGTGAGTGCACCCTCCACAGGCAGCTGCTTGCTTGTAGCCTCTCCCAGTGGCAGAAACAACTTGGTTGATCCTGAGTGCACCTTTCCAGCTGTGGCTGATGGCATGTTTTCTGTTTAAAGGAAAGAGCATTAAGGATCCACGTGCAGCAGGACAGCAGATTGAAGATAAGACCAAGCAAAACAGTGATGGTCATCCCTCAGCAGGCACTCCCCTCTCAGCCACTGCCCTGATGGAGGTGGGTGGAGACGTTACAAATGCCGCAGCTTCAAACCAGGCATTATCTGTAAACAATGTTGGAGGAAATTTGCCACCAGAATCCGGGATGGAAAGCCCCTCAGTAAGCTTGGTGGAAGCTGATGGAGCTGGTCAGCCCATGCCGAGTGCTGGGACGAAGCAAGCAGAGAGCTGGGCAAGCCTCCAGCTGGGCACGAAGAACGGCTCCCTTGCCTTCTCTGCTGCAAGCATAGGCACTGGGATAAGGTTTGTGAGCAGCAGTTCGGGCTTTGCTCTGAGAGACCAGCTCAATGGATCCATCTCAGAAGGCCAGGACAAGGAATGCCCAGCTGATGGCTCAGAGAGCTACCAGCTGTCACAGGAGCCAGAAATCCGGCTGAGTGAGACAGGGCTCGACCCTGGCAGCGCTCAGGCTGCACCCTGCGAGGAGGCTTATCAGGCAGAGTCGAAAGAGATGACAAAGGAAAATGAAGACCCTGGTACAGACTCACTGTTGGACACCTCTCAAGAGAAGTCCTTCTCAGAGGAGCCAGCCACTGACTCCTCTTGTTCGACAACACTCCCCCCGGGGCAAACTCACACCGACAGGGAAAAGCAGAGGCCATCTGGGAAGCGGAGGAAGAAGAAGAGGCACAGCAAAAGCTACTCAGGTAGCCTATTTCATATATAGCCCTGGGGACTGAGTTAAACTGGGGAGGCTTCCTTGTATATTTGTATAAGTCTGTTCCTCCCCACTTGGAGATGCAATACCCCTTTGCCCCTAGAGACTATCTATTTCATGTAGCTGTTATTTTTTTAAACCTGAAAGAGATGTAAAAAGAAAAACACAAGCATTGTTCATTCGCATGACATTTATAAGTAGCTTATAAAGGGGTAATGATGAATCAATAATTAAAAATCCCATTACCCATATGCAGTAAAAATGACAATAAGCACATCTGTCAAGTGTGCTAAAGACAGCTACAAAGCACAGTTATGTTCAAACAAGAGCTCCATTAGACTCCAGAGCAGTGATTAAGAGCAGTTAATACTGGGTACTTAATCAGCAATCACCCTCTCTCAACTACTTACAAACACATAAAACCAGTAACATCAGTGCTGCTGTGGGGTTGTTGGTTTTTCCTCTCCTAGGCCTCATAGCAAGAGCACTTTCCCTGCAGTGACTTGAAAACCTGTCACAGGGTTTTTTCAGGCAGCTCCTGAACATCAAGCTGTTGCTGCAGGGTGAGGGGTGAAAGCCAGACATTGAAAACGAGCATCTTGTGGACACGTGGGAAGGATTGTGTTTGGCTGGCCAGGTTGGTCTGACCTGGCACTGGGCTGACCTGCTGCTGCTGGAGAGAGCTTGGCCACTGGAGGCATGGAGCCACCCAGGTCTCTGCCTCATGGTGAGCATAGCCAGTCCCAAACCTGGGAACTGCATCCAAATCCCTAAAAATCCATCAAGTTGAAGCCACCCTTGGGGAAGCACTGTAATCCCAAATTAGAGGCGCCTCATAGGGAAGACACATCTGTCTGTCAACCTTTAGAAAGTTGCAATATACTATCCAAAGCTCATTTTCTGCAAGATATTGAGGTATTTCAAATGGACAGGAAATTGGTGGAAGTTTCATTTTATTAGCATTTAATGTTTTTCCTTCCAAGGCGGGTGGAGGAGAAAGGAAAGGAGGGTTTAAATACCCACTGCTGAGAAAGACATCAATCATGGGTTGGGCATCTGCCACAGAGGGACTTACCCTTATAATGCAGGCATGCCCTGGTGCTGTAGTTATATATAGTTCTAAACATGCCACTTTTCTCTAGTTAAAAAACAAGCCACAAACCAGAATTGGCTTCCCAGGTGGTAGTTTCCAGACTTGTTTCCCAGGAGGCAGAAGGAGGAGCTGCAGCAACGGGAGCAACCTCACACTCCCAGCCACAGCAATGATGTCCTGACCTCTTAGTTTTAGTCTTTCTGGCTTAATGAACTGACACCCTCAAATCTACAGGGCCCCCTGGGCATCCAGGGATGGCATCTTAGGAGTCTCTCTGCTACTAGACAATGTTTTAATTGTAAAAAAATTCCCTGTTATTACATTTGCTTTGCCATGATCAGCTATATTTAGTGTCTCTCTTTTGTTTAAAAGCAGAGGTTGAGACTGATACTGGAGATAATAAAACAAAAAAAGGTTGTGTGGTACAATGAGGTATGTAAACTTGTAAAGGTGTTTCTATGTGAACTAACCACAGCGTTTGGACTATACAGACTTAATCAGTATTCAGCATATCAGCTAAGCTTTTTGTCTTTGTGTCTAATCACAAATACATGTACAATACATTTGTTACTCTGATTATTACTCTCCAGGGTGTTGATCTTGGGTTGAGTGGAGTCAGTACTGATCTCTTCTTGACACACGGTCGCAGCCCACATGTCTGTCCTCTGTGTCAGCAGCAGCCAAACCTCCTTTCCCTGCAGATAATTAAAAGTAATTATCCTAACCAAGTGAATCCAGCTTCATGTGATAAACAAAGTCCTTGCTTTGATCCCATTATTTTCTCAGAAACCGTAAAAATGCAATTTCAGTACCTCTCCTGCAACAATGTTTGCTTTGTTTGTGGGTAGCTGCTTCCTACAGCACTGTTTAAACATAGATATATGGAAAAGGGAATAAAACCATGGACCCAGGGAGAAGTACTAGCTGGGGAAAGATACCAGCTCCAACTCAAGCCCAGATTCAGTTCCAGAGTTTCACATGAAGCAGTCCATTGGAGCAAGCAGACCATGCATACTGCTCATGTGCATTCATGCAGCTTTCTTGGGCAGGGGTAAGGGAGGGTGTAATTTGGCTTTTCTCCCCCCAAAAATATACTACAGATAAACCAGATTTCTAGTGAAACTGTATACCAAGTTCTCTGCATCCTTCATTGCTGCTGGAAACATGCAGTTGCCCCTCAAAAGAAAGCTTAAAGAGTTTCAGGGTGAGAATGTAGTTTGCAAAACTTTGCCTGTTTTTACAGCAAGTGGAAAGAAAAGCAAGAAAAAAAACAATTGAAAATCCACCGTACTGAAATTGCATAGTTACACGTTGTCCTTTCCATGCTGATGAGCACTTCCTATGAACTGAATCAATAATGTCAAATATTTCTCTATCTCATTTAATGAAAGGAATGTATTTATTCTCCAGCATCCCCGGTGCCACAGGCTGGAAGCCTGGCCAGGAGCCCTGCTCCTGCACAGCCTGGCAGCCCCGGCCCTTCCCAGCCCCAGGGGTGGTGGAACAGAGGAATCTCTGCAGGATTTCCACACAGGGTTTGCTTTTGTTCCTGCACCTAAATCGTCATGGCTAGTAAGAGAAAATAAGCTATAAATTGGGTAGTTACAGCTCTGACTACTCCTGCCCTCCTCTTGGCCCTTTCCGTGCCGTACTGCAGGATTACACCAAAGTGGAACAGGGAAATAGCTCTGTTGGTTTAAAAATCCTAAGGAAGATTTGCAGCCAGAACAGAAAACAGTAGCAGCGAGGCACAGGTAAGAAATTCATCAGGACCAGTGGTTCTGCTGCAGAGGGAGGGCAGCTGGACCTGTGTTAAACATAACTCAGGTTATGTATGTTTTAAGCACATGATTTCCAGCATGCAGGCTTAAAAAAAAAAATTGTATTTGAAAAAAAATAGAGACACAGACAACTTTGAATTCTCCTGAGAAGATGCTGGAAAGCAACATAGAGGAAAGCATGGACAAACAGTATTTTTATGAAGAGACCAAGTCAAGCAGGAGTTTCAGTGCATTCTCAAAACACAGCTCCTGGCACAGCCGCATTGCACCAGCAGTGCCCGTCTGTAGTGCGGTGCTAGGAGGGCACAGACAAGCAAAACCTTGAGTCCTGCAATTCCCCTTTTCCTCTTCTCCCATCTTTCTGTCACTTGGAAAGGTTAGAGGAAAGAAAAATTGGTTTGCTTCTTCATGTCCAGCCACAGTGCTTCCTCACCCAAATGCAGCTCAAGTCCTTTTGACATGACAGACTCAGCAAGCCTAGGATGCTCCCCATCAATATTTTTTCTTAGGATGTTCCTCTTCATTTCATTTTTTTCTTTTATTTATTGCCCCAAATGCACATGGTGTGTTCAGGTCACAGGACCAGTTCTCTTTTGGTACAGGATATTTCTGTCTCTGGTGGATTTGCTGCATGTGGAAGTTGGTGGGTCTCAGTGAAGTTGCAAGAAGCTTCTTCCTTCTTATGCAGATCCAGCTGTAGGGAATCAAGACTCAATCCCCATACCAATTTTTAGAGCTTCTGTAACAGCAGCAGAGTAAAGGCAGGAAGAGCCCATGATTCTAAGAAATAATATTGTTGTTATAATCACCTACTGACCTCTTGCCTTACCCTGACTATATCTTGTTACACAGCAATTTCTGTGTTAGTTAATTTACACCCTAAGAGTGGTATCTCACATTTTCTCCATGTTCCTGAAAGAACTGGTTAAGCCTGTTTTCCCATGGAATCAAGGCACTGGTGGTCACATTGTGTTTTTATGTATGCTAGTAACATCTGAACTCATTTCCAACCAAAAGAGCTTGAAGAAGGAGATGCTGTTTGAGTTTCCTTGGCTTAGACCCTAGATAATCACTACAGGCAAATGTTCATGTCTGTTCGTGCAACTCCCTTTTTCCTCTCCTGACATCTTTATGTCTTGTGGAAAGGTTAGTGGAAACAAGTCTTGAAAGCACAAATCCATAAGCAACCAGTCTTTGGCAATGTCACCTCTCACAAATCTACTTAACTTATTCCCTAGAAAACAAAAGAACAAACTAAATAGGGAGCATAGGCCAGTGCTGCAAGACTGCAGCCTGGTAAGGAGGGTGGGAAGGGGCAGCAGGGGACAGAGTGTTGCCTGCCAGCAGGTACAACACACATGTGGCACAGTGACACATCAGCCTCCCCCTGCAAAGAGGTAGCAGGGCTTGAGAATCAGGGGTTTCCTTATTATTTTTGTTTGTTTGTTTTTATTTTTTATTATTGTTTTCCTTTAATTCTGGAGAGCCAGATGCTTCACCTCCCCTTCTGCAGACTCAGTATTTTATGTGGGCAGTTTTCTAATGGACCATTAGAATATTATCAAGCTGCTGCACATGCCTTTGCTTTCATGTCTGTTATTAGAGGGTATTTGCTTTGTTCATGGAGTGGGACAGGCTCTTAAAAAAAAGTGTGCCACCCCATCCTTCTGACAGTCCTGCTAGATCCTCTAGATTTAGCACATTCAACAATTTAGTATCTACGAGCATATTCCAATATTCTGCTAGGAAAACATGAAACTCATGTTGTTGGACTGAACTAGTGCCCAGCTCATAAGCAAAGTAGCCCAAACTCTTGAACACCAGGATCAGTTCTGTAAACATGATGTTTTTATTAAATACACAGTAATTTAACTCTGCCTCATTTTAGGTTATCTGAGGAATCTGAAACTGGTTTCCCTAGAGGCACCTTCAAAATTAGTTGCACACACATGCAAAACCACACTGCTTTCATTTTACAGTTGCAAACAGTTTGCATTTCCCCCTCCTCCTGCAGGTGTCATGGCAAGGCAGAAGAAGTAACGGAGGCCCAGCAAACCACTCACACGTCCCCAGAGCATTGCCAGCTTCTCCAGAGCCAAGTTCTGCATCCCTGAA